GCTGGCATCCCAGGGTAGAATGTTCTGGTCCTATCAGCATGTTGGCATATATTATACTGGTTGCTGTCAGTCACTATTTGCATTCCCAGTTGGTTGTTCTCTTTTTTGTTTCTTTGGCGAGATTTGCCATTATAGATTCTAATTTTTATATTCTGTCCATTATTTTTGCTCTGTAGACTATTAATTCTGTTCCTATGACTCTCAGTTCTCTTTTGAACCTATCACGATCAGGGTATTGTAGTCCTAGGGTCTCACCTTCTATAGGATTTTCTATCTCAAGTGGAGGATCATTTTCCTTTGTTTTGCAGGATTTAATCAGTTTAGTAGACCTGGAGGCCACTTTTTTGGGGGGGTTAATTTTTCCTCTACTGATTTAGTCTTTTTTTTTTTCTTTTTACCTTTATTTCTCCCTATTGCTTACTTTCTTACTCCTTACCCTCTTTGGGAGCTGGATCTCAAAGCAACTCAGACTCCTTCCATGCTGGGCAATTCCCAGATCACCAGCCTAGGTCTCTACCCCGGGTGGCTTTTGGGTGGATGAAAGTAACACCAGTTGGATGCTGAGCTCTTTCCCTCAGGCCTGGTAGAGTGCTGCACAGTGGCCAACCCCTCCCCTCCCAAAAACAAATAAACAAAAAACAGACCCCACACACAGTGGTGTCTTCACTTGGTGCCCTGCCCCACCTTCTTTATTTCCTCAGTTATCTGGCTGGGCAAAGCTCTGCTGTATGGTGTTGGGGGTTTGATTTCTGTTTGGTTCTCCAAGGCTCTGTAGGAGGAGAGAGTTGGAGTGATATTGAGTTTAAGCCCAGACACACATCTTGCTCCTTTCTCTCTGTTCTTCTGTTGTCTTACAGCAATCTTTTGTAGCCCACTTCAGTGCTGACTGTCTGTCTTGTTCTGCCCATGATCACTGCTGTAGCCCTGCCTCTCTGTTGATGCTGGAAGAATTTTCCACAGCCTGGAGCTGGGGTCTGGAAGGGGCATTGGAATGTGGGATTAGATTTTGTTGTAAGCCTGTGGATTGGGTCCTAGGATCAGCTAGTGCAGCCTCACTGTTTGTGGGAGGTGAGGAAGAGTCCTTCTGAATGATGTCCCTGATCATTTATTAGCAAAATAACATAAATCTTTCAAAGTTTTGAGATAGGATTGTCTAAATATTTTTATTTCTCTAATCTTAGAATATGGGGCATGTCCTACATATTTCCAGGCAAAGGAGTTTAGGAATCACATTCATTTTGTCCTCAACAGGAAAAGGTCTTTGCCAAAAAGAAAACATTTTTCCACTAAGATATAAAGTTGGACAGTCTTGAAAGTCATCTAGTCTAACTTGTACAAAGGATCATCCAGTATGCAGAAGATCTTTCTCTAGGTCTCATCATATTTCCAAGCCAGCAGACATATCATGAGTACCAAGGCAGCATTTGGGCTGTCCGTCTGTTAGCCCTCATTGACCTGGTACATGACCAGGCCAGCACCTCCTTGTCCAATCATCCATTATGCCACTTCTTACTAACGGGTTATAAGATTGTTGCAAACATGCTGAATCCTACTTGGGCCCATCACATCTTTCTCAAAGTACAATTTAGAAACCATACTATAAAATATCACATCAAAACAATACTGAAACTTATTATGTTTTAGAGAAGATAGAGAGCTGAATCACACTGAACGTGCTAAAATGTAGTGCATAAAAAATCCTATTATGTTGTCATATCAGCAGCTGCTCCATCAAAAATGGTATTTCATATTATGCTTTTCTTACATCAAGAAGCCATGTTCATTTATACCATGTGAAAAGGAAATTAACTTATAGAGCCGAAAGTCATTAGAGAATTTTTAAAATCATATTAGTATTCATAGAAGAATTTTAAACAAATGGGAACAGTAAGATTTTAGTGAATAATATGGGTGGCACACAACTACTCTGACTTTTGCACTTAAATTCTACAATTTTACCTATGAGTACAAGTAAAAGAGATTTATCACTTCTTGCATATCTAAAAGCTGGTCCTAATATCTTGATATAATTTCCAGGGATCCACAAATTTGTAAAGAAAACCTAATCCAAAGTTTAACACTTCCTTAATATAATATTCCCATATCTTAAAGCTCATGTGTTTCAGTGATTTCCTTCAAGACTCAGTTGCATTGCCACCTTTTTATGCATGGGCTAGTGAAAAAGCACTGTATTTGGATTAGGATCTGTTTGAATATCAGTTCTCCCACCTACTAGCTTTATGCTGGGCCTCAGTTTCCACATCTGTAAAATAAAGTTTTTGGCCTAGCTCACCTCTAATACCTTTTCCAGTTCTATAAATCATTCCTGGTCTCTCCCTCCCCACCCACCACTGACCTACCTCATTCTAAAGAGATCTTGTATTCATTTTGTATGTATTTTTTATGTGTGTCAGTTCATGTACATGTTCTCTTCCCCATTAGAATATAAACACCTTGAGGGCAATGTCCATTTCCCTTCTGTGGGAGTTGCTCTCCTGCATCTGGTACAGTGGACCACTCAGAGCCAGACTTTAAATAAACAGTCTTTTTACTAAAAACCATTGCAAAATTCTTGGGTAGGAGCAATTATCCAGGTGAATAAAAAAAAAATTCAGAAGATTAAAAAAAACTGCTGACAAGAAGGCAGTTGGCAAAAAGATTGAAAAAGCAAGATGGGTCTCTGGAACCTCAGGATCTCTTATTGAGAATGGAAAAAAAAACAAATCCAAATGCCAACATTTTTTTTTGGCACCAACACTTTTATACTCCTCTTGGTCAAAGGACCCCCAGCTGAGTGCAGTATTAATCCCAGTTGTTCCTGGTCTATATCCCAACTTCCTTGCTTGTTGGTTGGCATTGTGGAACTATGGAGGGGCTAACACACATTGTGCTGATTCTTGGCTCACAACAACTTCTCTCTTTTTATCCTTGGTTCTTAACACATAAATTGTATGTAGCAAGTGCTCAGTGAATACTTATTGATTTATTGATAGAAAAATATTTTGTATAATAAAAATGCTTGGACTGTACTTTGGGATTCATAATACTCAAATGAATCTGTGATTTTATTGATTTAGAAGTTCTCATAAATGTTTCAGATCACAATCCATCCACACCTCTGTATCCATGCTTCTTGTGAAACTCTTGTCTTTGTACCCCCATAAGTTTGATTGAAAATATGATGAGATCTAAAGAAGGACCTTCTGCATATTGGATTCATCCTTTGTACCAATTAAGAAACACTGAAGGGGTTGCGAGTGGAAAAAATTTAAGAATGGCTGGAAAATATGATCTTCAAGACTGTCCAACTTTATATCTTAGTCTTACAGCCTGCCCACACTCACTGTGTACCTCCCCATCCCCTTCTGTTTTTGTAAACTGTTATGTTCTGTGTTTTGCTCCATAGTAAAATTTAGGATGTAAGACTAGGTGCCAGGTTAGTCGTGAAAAGGTAATCACTGGGATGACCTGTGGTTATTTCTAGACCCAGTCCCACATAGTCACTTGTTGTTCAGTTGTTTCAGTCATGTCTAACTCTTCTGTGACCCCATCTGGGGTTTTCTTGGTAGAGATACTGGAGTGGTTTGCCATTTCCTTCTCTAGCTCATTTTAAAGATGAGGAGACTGAGGCAAACAGGGTTAAGTGACTTGCCCAGGGTCCCTTGCCAATGAATGAGGTACAGTGGATGCCATACTCACAGGAGGGAGGTGATGTATCTGAGGCTGGTTTTAAACTTAAGTCTTCCTGACTAGGTTTAGGGCTTTATCCACTGCTGGGTGGTAAAGTGGATAGAGCACTGGGCTGGGAATGAGGAAGACTCATCTTTGTGAGTTCAAAAGAGGCCTCAGACATTTACTAGCCGTGTGATCTTGGGCAAAATACTTAACTTCTGGTCAATGATATTAAAAGGAATAGTATTTCTTATAGGAGTATTTTAACTTGCACAGGAAGCTCAAAACTTAGGGGATATCCAGGGCTAAAAGGACAGACCACTGGTCAAGAGAGCAACTAGTGAACCAAAGAATTTACTGGACCTCAGGGGCCATGGTCTTCTGGTCAGTTCTAGGGGAAGAGAAGAGTTTTATTGATGGTCCTTTGGAGGGATTGTCTTTTGGCCACGGTGTACCTAGTTTCAACTCTCCAGTCCCTCATGTTAATTAGTGTGGAAGACAATTGGGCCTTATCTCTTCCAGGGAAGCATGCTGAACTCCTACACTGAGGCAGGGGGCTCACACCTTAAAAACTAGGATTATATTTCTCCCTTCCTCGACATTGGAAATGGGAGCTGACACCTCCAAAACAGGGCCAGTGGATAGATAATATATCTATACTAGAGCAGTGGGTGGAGAACTGGAGAGATCTGACCATTAGGGCAGCAACAAAGCTGGTCATGGTTGTGGTTTTTTATAAAAAGAAGACAGGGCTTCAATTGAGAGTGTCTGGTTTTTCACCTCTGATGTTGCTGATGTGGAAGCATCAGAGATTGGCCAGTAAGGACTGGTTGTGTACAGCAGTGGAGTCAAATTCAAATAGAAAGGGATCCCTGTGGGCTACATATTGACTTAGAAAAACCACAAATTAACATTATCTGTGTTATATTGTATTTTTATTTATTTTGCTAAACATTTCCCACTTCCATTTTAATCTTGGTTGGGTCTCAAATTTGACACTCTGGGTGTACAGCATGGGGATAGAAGTTTTTAGCATGAAGGTTTCCAAAAGCAGTGATGGGAATTTTGGGAGGTGGCATTCCTAGAAAGGAGGTGGCCTGTGGCTTAAGTCCTATAGAATTCAGAGAGGCCTCCTCCACAGCCAGAGGGCTTTTTGGAATATTACATGATGATTCCTTTGAAAATAAAATACACTTTTAATTAGTATTTGAATACCTAGAGGAATTGGTAATAGGGAATGCTTTTATTTCCCCCCTTATTGGTAGAAATTAAAGATTTCTTAGGGGAAAGTCTATTAACATGGTATTTGTGTGTTCCTTTTCTTGCAGATATGATTTCAGACATCATGAGCATATGATTTCAAGAATGGACAACTGGGAATCTATTAATTCTGATTAGCCTTAAGCAGACTCATAACCATAGAGAAACCTCATCTAGTTCCATACTTTCTGCTTTAAATCTGTCTTGACATCTCACTCCTTTGTGCAGCCATGTATGGGAGTGCTCGTTCAGTTGGCAAAGTTGAACCAAGCAGTCAGAGTCCTGGGCGTTCACCGAGGCTTCCTCGTTCCCCACGTTTGGGTCACCGTCGAACCAATAGCACAGGAGGGAGTTCTGGAAGCAGTACTGGAGGTGGCAGTGGTAAAACTCTTTCAATGGAAAATATCCAGTCCTTAAATGCTGCCTATGCTACATCAGGGCCTATGTACTTAAGTGACCATGAAAATATGGGTCCAGATACACCTAAAAGCACCATGACACTTGGCCGTTCTGGGGGTCGGCTGCCTTATGGTGTTAGGATGACTGCTATGGGCAGCAGCCCCAATATTGCTAGCAGTGGGGTTGCCAGTGACACCATAGCGTTTGGAGAACATCACCTCCCTCCTGTGAGTATGGCATCCACTGTACCTCATTCATTGCGCCAGGCAAGGGATAACACAATTATGGATCTACAGACACAATTGAAGGAAGTGTTGAGGGAAAATGATCTGTTACGTAAGGACGTAGAAGTGAAAGAGAGTAAATTGAGCTCTTCAATGAATAGCATCAAGACCTTTTGGAGTCCAGAGTTGAAGAAAGAACGAGCCCTGAGAAAAGATGAAGCTTCCAAAATCACTGTTTGGAAGGAACAATATAGAGTTGTGCAAGAGGAAAACCAGGTTAGTTATACTTATAATATATACTATACTATAGTATATAGGAAAACCAGGTTAGTTATACTTATACTATATACTATACTATATATATATAGATAGTATCTATCTGTGTGCACTGAATTCACATCTATATGAAATGAAATCACATTTTATTTTCCCACTTGTCCCTGTCTTTCATGCCATCTTTATTTTTTTTTTGCCCACCTGTTTCTTAATTTTTTTCCTAAATGCCTCATTTTCTCAATCTTGCTACTTTGTTTCCATTTGTTTAATCCATTTTACATCACTTTTCTGCTTATTTTGTTTCTTTTTGATTTTGAGAACTGCCTTTGAATCTCTCCTTTCAGCATGTTGTATTTTTCTCAGTTCTAATGAGAATATACTGTATCACAAGCTGTGGCATCCATTGCTTAGAGCATTTGAGAGCATATAAAGTTATCTTCTGTTTTCCCAAATGTCCAGAATTATAGCACAGTCTTCTTTAAAATTGAGTGCATTACTTTGAGCTGTTTTCAGTTGAACAATATAACATTGAGGATAGTAATTGAAAATTTAATATTTAATTTCTTTTTTTTTTGGCAAGGCAATTGGGGTTAAGTGCCCAGAGTCACACAGCTAGTAAGTGTTATGTGTCTAAAGGCCAGATTTGAACTCAGGTCCTCCTGGCTCCAGGGCTGGTACTCTATCCACTGTGCCACCTAGCTGCCTCTCCCCCTTTTTTTTTAATATTTAATTTCAATATTTGAGTATCAGCTATAAGTTATCAAACAAATGTTTATTTTATTTAGTGATATTAATATAATTTGATCTTGAAGATGATTAGACAGCCTGTTTCTTTTGGCTCCTTAATTCATTGAAGTTCAAGAAAAAGAAAAATGTAAAATGTTAACTTATATTTAAAAAAAACAGAATTGGCTAGATATTTGAATAATGAGCTATTCCAGGTCAAGAACCAAATGTATTATCAATTTCATAAGCTGTTCATTTAGTGCTAATCTACCCTTCGAGGTAATATAAATTATGCTTCATTCATTATTGTGTCATTTATCTCTCTTTGCAGATGTTTTATAACATTAAAAGTGTGAATATATACTTTAGGGTTCAAGTAACAGAAACCTAAAATAAACTTCTTTTTAAAAGGTTTTCTGGGAGCAGTCTTTGAACTTGTGAGCCTCAGTGTTTTGTTTCAAAAAAGCTAAACTTTCTTTGTGAGAGTTATTTTTTTAAAGCAGTTGGCTTGCCGTTGATGTTATAAATGCATAAATCACATCATTTTTTGATATATTCTGTATTGACTGTGAATTACTTAAGTGATTTGTTTGAAACTTCACCTGGCTCTTGGCATGTTGCTAAGAAGGAAAGGAAGTATTGTAACATTCTTGCTTTCTGTACGTATCATGCATGTATTGTTAAACATAATTTACAGTTGTGGTGGTTAGCTTTATTCTCCATCATAAATACTATGTATATTCAATAATTATATAACTCTCACTTGGTTATTTTAAAATCATAGGCTCTTAAGAAAAAACAGTTTCTACTTAAAAAAAATTACTTTGTGATGGTTTCCTATAGTAATTTTCTAGATCACCTTGTCCTCAAACATATTGACTTTTTCTTGAAGATTTTGTTGGTGCTTTGGAATGCCATTTCTGGAAAGGACAAATTTTTCAGAAAGTCCATGACAAGGAAAATGTAATCTATTACATAATGTTAGCTGATGAAAGCAAAGTACCTTTGGTACTTGGTGGCCATTGCCACATACTCTCAAAACATAAAACATGTCCTGTATTTTCTGAATATTCATATGTTATGATTTTGAACTATAAAAATCAATATGGTAAAGATTTGATCAATTTTACAAAAAATGAAATAACTTATTACTATATGTTACTATAAAGAAGAATCTGCTTTTGCTGTATGTATATTTTTTTTTGTTTTATAATGATGATGATGATAATAGCTAGCATTTATATAGCACCTACTCTGTGCCAGGCACTGAGCTAAATGCCTTACATTTATTATCTCATTTGAACCTTACAACAACCCTGGTAGGTAGATGCTATTATTATCCCCATTTCACAGATGAGGAAACAGGCAAATAGGAGTTAAGTGACTTGCCCCTGATTACAGAGCTAGGAAGGGTCTGAGGCCGGATTTGATCTCAGGTCTTTGTGACTTTAGGCCCAGTGTTCTATCTCCTGCACCATTTTTGTCTGAAAAGGCATAAAATACTTCAAATGTATAGATATGTGTGTTTGTTGGTATATATACAGGGCATTCCATAAGTCTTAGTGCAGTTTTAAGCTTTTGTAGCTTAATATTAACTTAATAGTAGCATGTTACTGGGTGGCTCGTGCAGCTTAGGTGGCTCAGTGGAGAGAGCACTGGGAATACCTGAGTTTACATCCGGCCTCAGACACTCAGTAGCTGTGTGAACCTGGACAAGTCACTTAACCTCTGTTTGCCTATTAGACTGGAGAAGGGAATGGCAAACCACTCCATCATCTTTGCCAAGAAAACCCCAAATGGGGTCATGAGGAGTCAGAGACAACTGAACAACAATAACAATTACAGAGGTCCCTTGTAAAACTAGATAGATGTGTGGATTTATGTCTATAAATATTTTAATATACTTGTAATTTCATTGTTGTAAGTGAGGTGAGGAATTTCCTCTATCAGTGCTAATCAGTATCTCTTCTCTGTTACTTATAGACTTAGAGAGATGTCTGAGGCATTAGAGATTAGAGGTAGTATATATCAAAGGTGGTACTTGAATCCTGGTCTTCTGAGTCCCAGATCAGCTTTCACTCACTTTGGTGCACTGCCTTTACCTTACACACATGTGGATTAACAGAAATTTATGAAGTAGCTTTTACTTAGCATGTACTGGTCATTATGCTAGATATGAGTGGTACAAAAAAAAAATGAAACATTCTGTACTCTTAAGGCTCATTCTGATAGATATTGATATACAGAATAAATACAACGTAGTCATGGAGAGATATGATGGGGAGACCATGAAAGACTTATGTAGAAGTAGATATTTGGGCTGTGTCTTGTAGAAAGGAGAGTCTGAGGAGCTGGAGATGAGGAAGAAAAGGAAATGCATTAAAGGGCTGGGGGTGAGGGGTTACCAGTACAAAGGAATGGAGCAGGAAATGGAGTGCTGTGGGTGAAGAAGAGAGGGAAGGCCAGTTTAGTTGGAATGTAGAGTGGCAGAAAGGGAGCAATGTGTAATAAAGCTGGAAAGATAGGTTTGCAGCAGGTTTGAAAAGGTTTAAAAGCTAAATGAAGCAGTTTATATTTTATCCTGGAGACCATACAGAGCCCATGAATTGATAGGGGAATTGAGTAGTTGTTTGAGTAGGTCAGATCTTCACTAAGGGAAAATCACGCTAGCAGCTATGTGTAGGATGGACTGGAGTGAGGAAAGACTTTAGTCAGGGAGACCAGTTAGGAGGATGTTGCAATAATGTAGGTGAGAAATGATGATGGCATCAATTAAGCAGTGAGTAGAGAGAATGGATTGGTTGTGAGAGATGTGAAGGTATATACAGCAAGATTTTGCAACTGATGGGATATGTAGAGTGAGAAAGAGTGATACCAAGGCTGTATATTTATGCATATACACATACATAACATTCACTTGCATATGTACATATATACACAGATAGGCAAGTGTGACATAATGTATGGAGAGATGGTCCTGGAGTTGGGAAGACCTAGGGTTCAAGGTCTGCTTCTGACACATACCACCTGTGAGATTAACCTTAGGCAAAGCAGTTAACTTTTCAGTGCCCTATGTGACACTCTAATTTAAAAAATTATAGGTGAGGGCATACCGCACACAACGTACCTGTTGGGCCATTTTCTTGCTTTTTAAAAATTGATTTCATAACATTTGTGTATTTTGAGTATCTTAGTTCCTCATTATGCATTGTAAGGTATTTAATAGTTAAATATGGATGTATCAGGATACCATCCAACTTCAAATGGATTAATTGATGAAGAAAAAAAATCAAAGCCTATTCTAGCCATCTAAATGGAATTTTTTTTAAAGTCAAGTAAACAAGCATTTATTAAGTGGCCCCAGTGTGCCAGGCACTCTGCAGAGAAAGGCAAAGTCCAGTCCCTGCTTTCAGAGAACTCACAGTCTAATGTCTTAATTTCAGCTCATAATCTTAACTTTTTAATGTGGTAAATCTTAAGGAAAATAATACACATGACAGGAAAATACCAAGTAGATTTGTTTTTAAGTGGTTTATTTCCTAAGGACTGATTATGTAATGCTTTTTGTTAAATGGATATTATATGTAAGTATATAAGAACTGAATTGAGGTCATCAGCTTTGACACTGTTTTTTCTCCTCCTCTGTTCCATGTATGTCTTGGGTGCTCAGAAATTAAAGAGCAAAAATAAATGTTTCATGCCATGTCTTCAGTAAAATGCCCGTTCATAACTTGGGTATTACCATTAGAAGGCTTAAAATACTAACGTTAACATCAAAGAAAATAATCACGCATACTCCTTTATTTTGAAATAATCTAGTTAATTGCCCTGTTTTGAAACTGTTTGTCTTCCCCTCTTTCTAATTATTAGGCTGTTTTCAAAGATAATGCATTTGAATTTAATGAAAACTCTAGGATATTCTTGGTTCTTTGAAAGCGAAGTAGTCCAGGGAATTATGATGCCAGAAAAGCTATGTAACTGCAGAAGGGTGAACATTGACTTTTCTAGATTTTATCCTCTGTTCTAATTAAACATTTACTGAAGCTGGCAGCACTTGATTCTTCTTGCATACACTGTAATTACTACTACAAAGCTAAGAGTATGCAACTTTGGGCCAAAAAAGGAAAGGTACAATTTAAAAGTAAAGTTGAAACACTGCAATGAGTTGTAGTAACTAGGAATGCTAATTAATAGATTATAGTAAGCCAGTGGTGTACCCTAATTAAAATTTGCATTCATTATATTCTCTAGAGCCTTCAGTGGTCCCTCTTCTC